CCACAGTTTATAAAAGTTGGACTCAGACATGACAGCGAGGCAAGCGGCCAGAAAGTCCGATTTGATTGACTCATAAATTGATCGCTTCGTGAAAGCAGCCGGGAGTCGAAACTTCGGTCTGGAAACCCCACCTTCGTTAGCCACCTCATTCGGCATGCTATCCGCATGACACTCGATGAACGTTCTCATGCTGGCAAGCTTGGCGACCGTTTTACTGGTTGGCCGATATTTCCCCGTCAGGCCATGCTCGGAATGCACGTAACCATTATCGAAACGCTTTTTGTAGCTGTAAAATGTATTACGCGAGACACCGAGTACATTGCAGTACGCCTTGACGCACATCGAACGTTCCAACTCCACAGGGCGGACACGTCTCTGTCCACCCTCATTCACTGTGAAATCCTTAATACTTTTCATCCAGCACTCAGCTCGCTCTACCGGACTCTTACTGTACAGTCCTTGTCTAACCTTTCGCACTTCCTCGGGCGACACTTCGTAACAACATCGAGCCTTGCAACATGCCATGCCGTGCACCATGAGCAGTTTTTTTTCGGACAGCATGTTTCTCGCTCTTTTGTACTGTTCTTTCCTCCTAGCGTTCCTATTAGCCATGCTATACCTTCGTCTTTCGCCTGGCAGAGGTGCGGACAAAATATGCAGTATCGCCCTTCTCTCTACATCACCCCTGCCAGACGGCCGACTCTGACTGACTCTCAATTGGAATCGCATCATCACTTCGCACTTGCGTTGGACTCGCCCGTGCTGTGGAAAGTTCCTCCGAAGAGTAGTCGGTGGCAACCAACTTCGTACTACTGGAGCTAGTGCGAAGCAAAGGTCCACTGGAAGAGGACTGTGGTCCAGACGAGTAATCAGTGCCCACCAACCGCTCACTCTCGTCATCAGATGATGCGTAAGAAACACCCATCGGCACGCAACTGCTGTGCGTCGAAGTTGTGGGGTTCACCTCTCCAGGAATGTGGAACTCGATCCGGGAGGTAGACGGTTCTTCGCCTGCGGACGTTGTTGCCAATTCTGTAGGCAGTTGGATGCAACCTCCAAAGCTCTCACGAAAAGCGAGACTCCGTTTTCTAGGGAAAGCTGCAGCGGACTGTTGGAACGGCGAACTGTCCGAAGAGGACTGTTGGAACGACGAACTGTCTGAAGAGGTCATCGGGGCCAATTCCAGGTGTTGTAGCTGGTAACGCAAGTCGACGGCTTGTTCAATTTCCATAGCCCGGTTCATGTGGCCGTTTGCCCAACCGTCTTCGGCGCCGTCATGTAACCGTTGGTGCAGCGGATGCAATTCCCGTCAGCGTAATCGATTAAGCTCTCTTGTGCGGATTGGACGGGTCATTCCAATTCATGCCCACACCCTACAAAACAGCGGAGCAAACTGTAAGCACGATTACTATAGAAGTAAGGGCTAACCCCCCCCCCCCCCCCC